TGTGGTGTGTGTTGTGTGTTGTGTATGTGGTGTGTGTGTGTGTGTGTGTGTGTGTGTGTGTGTGTGTGTGTGTGTGTGTGTGTGTGTGTGTGTGTGTGTGTGTGTGTGTGTGTGTGTGTGTGTGTGTGTGTGTGTGTGTGTGTGTGTGTGTGTGTGTGTGTGTGTGGGTATTATAGGAGTGTTTACAGCCTGCCTCAAGCTACACGCATGACTCACTTCTCTCCCGTTGTGCAGTTAATCACATGTGCGCTTTTAATCGGACTCTTTTGAGCCACATGTATCTCATTCCAACAGCTCTCATCTTTTACTTTTTCCCATAATTCATCTCTGAACACTTAGTCTGACCCTAGTAAATCAAGTGTGCTCTACTACAGCCTCTGATCATCCAACATTTCCTCTTAATGCAGTCTGGAAGCCCCCCCCTGCTCCAGGGACCCTACATGTTATTAATCCGTGGCTTTTTACTGCTATTAGAAACAATTTGACGCTTAAGTGGGTCCTGCATCTGCACGGTTATCCTCTGGGGGAAAGAATGCAGCTTGCTTTGACTGGAAGTGACTTAATGTAGTCCAATCAGCAATTCCCCTGTAACAGCCACTAATAATAATGCAGTGATTAGTGGATAAAAGCATCAATCAATTTAGATTTACAGTTGACGGCTCACTCTCCAATTGTAAATACCCATGCAAATTGATTATCTGAGTTTCTTTTGTAGTTTCTTTCTTGGAATAATATCTCTAATCCATATGTATTTATTCTTACAATGGCCCTAATATGCTGTTCCAGATATAAAATAGAGAAAGAAGAAGTAACCCTTGGCGACACTGTAACCAGCCAGCAGTAAATGATTCAAACAGTACATTAATGGTTTGAAATAGGACAAGATAACATGCCCAGGATTACACATATGGATGTATTCATTAGCTTACATTGAGGTGGAAACTGAATTGTACACTGTCCTTGGTTAGCAGATACATGTAGATTAGATTTCTGGGGATTGACTAATCAATTCATAACATGTTATTTCCACTTTAAAATGCCTCTGCATGTCTTGGCAAAGGCTGAAAAAGATAATAATCAATCTTAACAAACACATCCTTGGGTTGTGTACAAGCGTTTGTACAGACATCACGTAACGGGTCGATGATAGACTTCCATTCTTTTCAAATGAAGCATGTCCTAGCCACAAGCAATTCATGTTTTCACTTTCAGACCTGCAGTCCTCTGAGCATTTCTGCCGTGACGGGCTCCGGAGCGCAGCAATGCATTATATACTGATGCAATCAACAGTTTATGAAAAGTAACCACATGTAGGTAGAACGAGGACACCTTTATCTGTGAGTCCCTGCTTCACTCCCAATCTGGCAACACCTCCATCTTACTCCTGTGAGAAAAAAAGGCTTTTATCTCCCCCACACTCTCGCTGTGCTCGTCTTCTCTGAGCTTGTCAGTGTCAGGCTTAAACAGTTTGCTGTGTGTCAGAGACTTTAAACTGCCTCTGAACAACAGTTGTCAGCCGCGTGGGAATAAGAGCAAATTGCTCCTTCACGGTAGCAGTGTTTCTTTTATGCTGAACGCTCAGCTGTACCCTCCTGAGAGCTGCATATAACAGGGTTGTTACTGCAAGTGTGTTGCCAGAACATCGCACTTTAAACCTTGAGACTTGATTGATGTCAGACACTGTCACGGTCTTGTCTACCCCTCCTGTGGGCAGGTTTCTTTGACATTTCACATTTTAAATTCAGATTTCCTTTCCGTCTCGCCCTCCAGGTTGATGTTTCCACACCGGGCGCCCCCAGGGTCGCTTTCCAGCCTGACTGCGGACCGCTCTCCCCCACTGTCAGCCTCCTGATCAGCCCGCTGACCGCCTGTAGCTCGACCGCACCGCGCACAAGGTTCCTCTGCCTGGACAGCACTGCGTCGCCATGGACACAGAGTCCACCTACTCCGGCTATTCCTACTACTCCGGACGCTCCCGGGGGTCCCACAGGCATGGGTAAGGCTCAATGCTACTTAGTCAACAACTCCTGTCCTGCCCTGCCTTTACCTAAAAGGGTCCCTGCCACATTGTCACTAAACGCTTACCACCTGCAATAGCCCCTCCTCATTCGCAAACATGTAATGCCAAAATGTTGGACCAAAACCATTTGTATAACCGAGAATACTATAATATGGCCATACGTTTCATGTTTTCTATTTATTTATTTTGTTATCTCTATTTATCTCTCAATGCTTCACCATTGAATTGTGCAGTGTTGTTTCTGCACAGATTGAAACATGTGAACTGTCAATCTACTAGAGATCATAAAATCATGTTAATACATGCCACCCCACATAAAACAAATCAGACCCTGTTGTTGGCGTTTAAAGCCTTCCTCCTATGTCATGAGAAACAGAGATGCTAAATTCCTCATCTTAATTTATTCTTCTAGTTCTTCTTTAAAGAGCATCTTGCAGGTTTTTTTTTTTTCTACATTTATGCTTAAACTTGTTTGAAAATTACAATTAAAAAAGTGAATGTAGGATTTGATATGTTTTAGGAGACATAAGGGCAGGAATTCAGAGGGAAAGGAGCAATTTTGAGCTCTGCTCTTAAAAACTGCTTTTTTTTAAGGTCATACGTCAAACGCGTCATATTACATCACGCAGGGGACACATCTCCGCTCTCTGACCGCGGGTATAGTTAGTAGTTGCGTTGAGTTGAGCGGTTGTGTTTTAGTGAGCTGGTACCTTTAGGTAGTTTTACATTGTATTTCACCATTTGTAATCATGGTGCAGTATTGTGTTTGTGCAGGTTGCACAAACACAATACTGTCAGGACATCGAGTCCACAGTAAAAAGGACCGGAGCTAGCGTTCGTTCCTGGGCGCGTTGTGCATCCACCTCCCTGCAGCACATACTCTCCACAGCTTTATCAGGAAACCGTATTACTTCTCTCTCCCCCCCCTTCGCTGAGCGAAGGGGGGGGAGAGAGAAGTAATACGGTTTCCTGATAAAGCTGTGGAGAGTATGTGCTGCAGGGAGGTGGATGCACAACGCGCCCAGGAACGAACNTGACATCACAGACATACTGTGATACATACAGTATTTTACAGGAAACATCCGACTGAATAGAGACTCCAGAGACAGGGCTGTCAGATTTCATATAGATAATACATCCTGTAAAGAGAATAATGGACTAACATATTGGACAGCAGGTGAATGAAAGAGATATCATGGAGTCCTTATTTACAGCTGAAGAAGACAAAGGGCATTTCTTGATTGTCTTTTCTAAATGCTAATTGAGTTTCCTGCAGTCTCTACGCGTAATATCTCATTTGTATTAAGTTATTTAATTGCAAGTGACATAAGAAAAAAAGTGTAACAAATCTCCTTTCCATAATGCTCTGTCTTTCAAGAGATGAACACAGGCTGTTGTGGCTTTCTGTTTAAAGCTGAATGTTCTAGTTTTTGTTTATTTACACGATGACCGCAGCACAGCGTTAGAATTAGATTGGTGTTTCCGGCCATGTTACAACCGCAAGTAGCAATACACAAAAGTAGAATTTGGTGAAATCCGATATGCCAATGTTTCTTGTAGCCAATTGCCAGGACTTATGTGTTATGTTGTGTTGTTATGTGGTCAAAATGGACGCTGATGAGAGCTGTGGGACTCAACCAATCCATCAAAGCTAAGAGCCTAAAACCAAAACAATGAGCAGGCAACCATTTTCTGTTTGTCTTTCGCTACAAGCAACACCTTTCCCATTACACATACTAATCGGCTACATTGTTAATTTAACAAACACTGATTAGATCAGCAAGTGTTGATATTGAGTCTGGCAAAGCTGAATAAGATCTGGTGCCCGTTAACAATAGCCTTTTAGTGAAGTATAAGTGACAACCTTGAACGCTATTTTCCCACACAATAACAATATCTCAGGATATCCTGCCTGCAGGGGTCGCGCAGTATGATTGACAGCTCAGTCTCACATTGGATGGATGGAAGTGTTTTTGATTAAAGGGTGTTAACCTGTCTGCTTTCCGCCTCTATTCCTGTACTTCCTTTTGAGTGTGGACACCGTTTCCTACCATCACAATGCTTCAAACGTGCACACAGTGAAAGAAAGCTCATTTTACAACAGCCCGCAGCAACTCCTCTCACTGACAGAGTGACTGACATATTCTCGTCTAATAAATCCAGGAGATTAGGGCCGTGTAAGCTTTTAAATACATTACAGCCATCATTATTACTTTAGATGTTATTATGGTTATCATCATCAGTGTAAATGGTTTCTGCAGCGGGAGGGATCATCAGTCAAAGGCTGTCAGTGGTGGTGGTTATTAATTGGGAAGGAGCAGCAGCGAGTCAAAGTTATCAGCAGAATAATAAGCATCTCCGGGGGAAATAAAGGAAAGATAAAAGCCAGAAAACTTCATTTAAAATTGACCAAAACTAAATAAACGTATTAAAACTGTCTTTGCTAGTCTTTCCATTGTGCTTAGAGAGTTTGAAATATACTGAATAAGTAACTGATTTGTATTCTTTTAAAAATATCCGATATCCAACACGCTTGTGACACAAAACAGAAACAAATACTCTTCTTCAGGCAATAAGAAATGCAAAAACAAATATACATGCTTATTTTAGTTGCAGTAGGGTTTGTAATTAGACATAACCCACATCCACTTTACAAGACAACCTGTAATGAGGAGTCACACACGCTCCACGTTTAGGCTGGGAACCACTTGAAAACAACGTGTGAATGTGTGTCTTTACACGCTACTCCCAGCAGAGCGTGATTCATTGGGAAAGTCAGTAACAGACAGTGAAGGAACACCTGGTTCTTGGAGAGCTGGCGAGACTACAAATGTGAAAAAGACGACTTGGACATAAAAAAAGATTGCTGTTTACAACTGCATTTTGAAATTGTATATGCACACAGACAGGAAACTCAGGGCAGCAGACCTGTGGTGAGCAGGGAGGGGTTGGAACAGATCGGCCTCTGTCAGCCAGCCCCCCCCTCCCCACACCCCCAGCACGTTTTCTCATTCCCCCTCCAGCATGCTTGTGGGGTGATCGCACTGTGGAAAACTCGCTCCCGGCACCCACACCTTCCTCCCCCCCACACACACACACACCACCAGCCTTCCCACATCCTCTTCCTGCCTCATTAACATGCAGCCCGGCTCGTTGGTATTCCGACCGCGTGCTGTGCTATGATTTGATTAATGGAATTTGACTTCCAGCGAGGTTCCCTGAAACGAAGATGGCTTTTTGGAACAGTGAGGATGAGAGGGAGTGGGGGTGGGGGGGGGTAGAGATGCCTGGCAAGCGGGGGCACAGTCCTGCCAATTAGTCTCTGGAAGCAGTTTGGCTGTAACACCTGAGGATGAGTGCGGTCTCGTTCTCCACCTCTCACTGATAGCGGGGCGGCTAATGGAGAGCCAACTAGCACGGCACGCCAACTGTCCGAGGATCAATTTGTTCTCTGTGTGTGGCTGGCAGGGCACAGACACACACACCTGTGTGACACACAGCTTTGTGGCACCCGTGTAGCTCCGACTCAGCCAAATGGGTTGAGTCATGAAGCCAAATAAAAAGTGACCAAGCACACACTCAAGGGCCATTTTAAACCGTTAGCTATCAAGAAATAAAGAGCTCTGTGTGATGGGGTTGCTAAAAGATTATCCATTTGCATTTACTTTAAATTGCAATATATTTAGCTTAATAGGTCCTACAAATGAAGTTTAATATTCTTGGTGTTAAAATGTTTACCTCAAAGTCACTGATAAGCTGCATTGTATAAATATAATCAGCCTGTGCAGTCTGGAGTTGATCCATGTTGAGGTGGAGGGGCACTCGTGTGATAAGCAGTCATGTGGCCTGCCTTTTTCTTTAGGGTTAGCCTCCTACAGATAACACTGCAGTAAGGTGACACATTCCTGTGACTCATGAGGGTCAGGGTTGTGTTAGAAACAAAAGGGTTGTGCGACGTGTTGGCTGCATTTCGGAAACCAGAAGTGTTCCCAAGAGAGTCAGTGCAAGGTGGAGACGTGTTCGTGATAACGAGCATATTCGCCTAAAATACATAGTGTTCAATAATCACTCAGCTGTTCACTTTGAAAGTAACAGGAAAGTTAATATAGCTGTTAGCTGAAATCAAACAAAATTCCTTGTAAAACATATTTCTTGGTTAATAAACTAATAATGACATATTTTGGTCGACTCAGAAATGTATATAAAATGCAATGACCCTCAAATGGAACTAAAACTGTAAATTAATTAGTTTAAATGACTCACTCCGTCCCATGAGAATTCTGCATGCTGCCCAATAATTGGAGTTATACCAATCAAAAGAACCAATGTTCCACATGAGCAGCTGCTCATAAGAGATTTGCAATTTCATAACCATTTAAATACTCCAAATTGGCAGAGTGGAGGAGCCAAGCTTTAGGAAAGTTTCAGGATTTAATTAAACTGACCCAATACCAAACTACTATGCTCCTTATAGGAACCCAATGCTGAGATTAAAAGCAAATTATTTGGATTAACACAAAAATAAGAGCTGCAACTACCAATTATTTAAAATCCATTCTATGAAACATCCAAAAATGGCCATCACAACACTTACACAGTAAGTGATGCTCTGGATTCTGTATAAATAAAACAGTGGATGGGAATCACTGTAATATCCTTAATTATTAAAAAGACTGCTCTCTTGTGTTTGAGTCTTTCGCTCAATTGGAACTGAACATGGTCTTTCGGGAACAGAAGGAATTCCCACATGCAAATAAAGAAAGCCGTGTCATCAGTGTGTGTCGTTGCAGCTTTTGGCAGGAAATGGAGCTCTGCCATTACTGAAGAGCCAGGAGGACTCTTTAGTGGAAGTATCCTGGACACTAGTCTAGGGTTGTTTGACACAGGAGGGGGGGCAAAAAGCCAGCTGGAAACAACTCCAAAAACCCTGTCTGTTAATGAACACTTCAGCCTGTCCAATTCTATTCTGACAAATGATGATGTTTCATGACTTTCAAATAAACACTACTGTGTGATATGTTGTATGAAAATGCAATGAGACGACAGCGATGCAGATCTGTCTCACGCGGGGCACCATACAGCGTCGAAAGATTACCTTCACAGGGCGATGGCAAGATGGTTTCAAAAGCAACAATTCTTTTTTTCCAACATCAAATTAGAGGCCAGCGGGTGGTTTTGGCACAGTCTTGGTAGGGGTGAAGGAGCAAGGGAGGGGGGAACGACGTTTAGCGGAGACCCCCATATGTTCCTAACCAATTGCCTGTCAATCACTTGAAAGGCTTCAGGAAAAGAAGTGATAGGAGCTCGCACCACAACCACTGCCACGAGGCGACATGACTTTTTCCTCATCGTAACTTTCGGCTACACGGGCACATTCCTGCCCGGGGGAATGTGCTTCGAGTGGGGAACAAGTGAGACGCCTGCGCCGACCCATCCTCAGAGAGTAGCCAGGAATCCATTTAAGAAGGGGGAGGTGGGGACACACACACACACACAAGGGGGTCAAGAGCGAACGAGAAAGAGGGCAGCTGCTGAATTCATGTCACGACGGACACAAGGGGATGATAAGGGAAATATGAGGGTTAAAGCGTGTAGGACAAAATATAGACGATGGCACGAAACCAAAAGTCCTTTAAATTGGTGGCAGCAAGAGTGGAAAAACCAAGAGATATATGGTGAAGGAGCTAGAGGGGGGCTTCAATGAGGAGGGAGGGGCCGCTGTGGAACAGGAGCCCCCTCTCATCAGTCAGTGGGCCCTCTTCAGCACCTGTCCCCCGCTGCCTTCCTGAGGCCTGTCAGCTACAGCCATTTCACTGCTGACAGACTAATGCCCCTACACAAGCTGTGGGCTCCAAGCATGCTGACCGGAGAGGAGGGGGGGGAGTGAGATAAACTGGTGTTTCTTTAATCTGTGATGTTTTCTGATACAGTTTATCCAAAAAGGAGGCTTTAATAATGAAACAATACTATTTGTATCACATGTATAGGACTTCCTGCTTAAAGAGCAACTTCCAGGTTAAAGACACCTGTGAATAAATGTGTAGGAAAATGATGAATACACTAGATTTTCAAAAAAATATACAGAAATATACACTACAGTGACATCTGGCGTCGTTTTTGTAAGACATTTTCACTTCCGCATAAAAAAGCCTCGGCACGTGACCTCCCGCGTGTGACGTAACACGGGGGAAACAAGGGGGAGAGCGGCCGGTGTAACGTATTAATAAACATGGATCCCAATGCTAGTTTCGACACAAAAGACACAGAAGAAGTTGAACATGAATATTCGAATGCATATGACGGACCACAACCTTATAATTATGAGCCTGCTAGGCGTCCAAGAGACCAGGAGCAGCAAAGGATTAGAAGAAATAACGGCCATCGGAGAGAAATGGAGCTGTGGTGTGAGGAGAACCAGTGGAGAACTGGGCAGCTATCTTGGTGAGTGACCGGCGTTAGCTACTGAATGTTAGCTAACGTCACATCACAACATTGTAAAGTTAGCTATCATATATCAGGCTATAACTAAAGTAGTATTGATAATATAGTAACGTTACTGGCAGGACTGTTGATACTGATCCATAACAGAAACTAATGCGCAAGTATCAGCCGTATCTTGCGTTGCCTAATGCAACTCCACACTACGGTGCTGTGTACCGGAGGAGAGACGCGAGATACGGCTGATACTTGACGATCTGGCGGAGAAAGGTTGTGGAGCCTCCGTTGATATGCAGTTGTAAATGGCTTGATGGAAAGCAGGTGTGTAGTCGGGGAGGGTGCGCAGCTGATTGCAGCAGGTGAGTGG